TAGGTCAGGTACAACTGAAGACACAAAGCGTATATACAATTCGTTTTAATAAGGCTTCATATTTTGCTTCAAATCCTAAGACGTTTTCTCTTCCTTCAATTTTTCGAATACTGATTATGGAAATACTGTAGGTCAGTGTCACTGCAGATGAATGAGTGGCCAGAGAGTTTTAATTTTTGTTCATTCAAGTCAAACAAGACAAAATTGAAAAGGCTGCCCAAAGGACATCAGCTGGAACCAAGCAGTCTGTTCATTTTGGGCCTTGTCATAATTGCCTTCAATTTCATTTGAAGAAAAGGTGAAGAACTGAAACGCGCAACAATTTGCAAATCCATTACATTCTACATCATGTTATCCTCCCACCCACCCCCAAAATAATATTCAGTTTTCTCCCCTGAAACATATTGTACGCAAAAAAATTTGGGTAAAAAGTAGAGCTGGGCCATGCTCTTTTATGGGTAAATCCATTAAAAATAATAATTTATATTCAGTTGAATGCATTTCTTAGACATCACTATTGGTGGGGGGAAACTTTCATCGGGCAGTCATCCTAACTTGTGATGGTTTAGTTTCCATCTGCCTGTTATTAGTACTCTTAGTTATAGGCTATTGTGCAAATACACCATTTAGGTTTTAATTTCTTTTTAAAAAATTGAAGCACCAGATCTTTGTTTTTTAAATTTCTTTTTAGACAGAACCCCATGCTCCAAGTGATTACACAATTCAACAACTCTTGTGTGAGTTTTTTTAAACATACATGGAAATATAACCCAAAAATATATGCATACCATTTAAAACAATTAACTCAAGATTTTTAGAACTGAAGTTAAATAAAATCCACTCTCCTACTTGAATTAACCTAGGTGTCTTCATGACCAATATAATTTAGGGAGAGATGGAAGAATAACTATCTATTATTAAATATCCGAGAATAGGAAGTGCTTCTGCAAGTTAAACTATGAGGCCTATTTTAATATATTGCTCACCTTTGATTACAATTTACCTATAGAGACCAGGTACAAGTATCTTTTGATTAAAGAACAAAGATAAAAGTTATCATTTGCAAAAATCCCCAAATGAACTAATGTAACATCCAGGAAAATGCTGTCAATTAGATGCTTTAAATATTTGGGGATAGTAATCCGTACCTTTAAAATATTCCTTGGCCATCTAGATAAACTACTAAAACCTAGGAGTAGTATTTTGTACAGCATCTTGTACTGTGCACCAGTAGGTAACAACTAGTAATGTGATTGTCTCAGCAGCTGTACCATTCTTTCAGTATTGTGCAGCAGATTGTCTACGTGTTTCAATACTAACAGTATAAGACTATTTTTAATTGTCAGTCTTTTGCTATAACAAAACATTACTTCATATGGTTAATTTCTCATGAAAGTCTATTTCATTGGCCAAGTCATTACCAGGATACAATATGATATAGAACACGTTACATCTACATCAAGGAAATTAATCCACATTAGTTTCATTAAAAATCTGTTCTTTACTATATCACTCATTTTTGTTCAAAATCTAAACTGCTTTTTTCTCTTTCATGGTAATTCCAGTTTTTTTGGAATATATTCTTATAAAGCAATTTGTATGTGGACATTATTGGAAGCTCTTCAGCAGGATACATTTTGAGCTGTGAATGTATTATGACCATGACAAGGGCTTCTTCACAAGCTTACCTTTTCATTTCAATGATTCTCTTCGATATCCTTTGAATGCTAGGAAAGTACGTATTTTTAATTATCCCGTGCCTTTTAAAATAATCATACGCGGTTTTTTATTATGTTCCAGGAAAAATGATTTGAACTGATCAACCCACAGGCACAAATGATCAGGCTCAGTTGATACTTCAGATACATTATGTGAAGATCAAACCCTCTGGAGAAGTCTGTAATGCTGGGAAAGGCAGAATGAAGAGAAGTGGTTGACAATTAAGAGGATGAACTGTTACTATGTTGATGGGGGAACATCAACATAGTTGAAAAACTTGAAGTACAGAGTGATCACACATTGTCTAGGAGAAAATCTATCTATGCACTGCTAATAATCAATGCCAAATTGAGAGCACATAGTCAAACTTTTTATTAATTTTTTCTTATTTAACCTGCCTCATATTTATTGTTCCCATTCTTACGAATAGTTGATTGTTGTTTTATTATTTAAGAGGAAATTAATGTTTGACAGGGTATTTCTGGGTGTGATATGCAAGCAGAACATAGCTGAGGAAGGTTAAACACTTGTTATTATATTTGTGTCAGGGTTGACAGATTGTCTTTTTTCTTTTAAAGGATGATGTAATGTATTTTACGGTACACAACTAGTGTAATGCACTTAAATTTACTTTCCGATTGGAGGCATAAAAGTGCTTGTAATAAATACACTATTGATGTCCCAATTATGGCAATTTCTGTGCTGCAAGGAGTTTCTCAAACTTTATGATTACAAAATGACCCACTTCTGATTTCTTGTCAATCATACTGGCTCCTGCAGGCTACTTCCTGTCAGATTTTGGGGGCCAAGTGAAATAGATTGATTCAATAATAATGATAATAACAATAGAGTGCTGAAGTGTCCAAATGCCTATTTGATATGACAGCTGCCAGAAGCATGGAGCCTTCAACACTGAAATCTCCTGGTACTTCAAACTCTCTAAGTGACAGCTGCTATTCAGGAGACTGCCATGTGGAATATAGTACAATCCTGTGTACTCTGTAATATATGCAAGAGCGACGATATCACTGTTTGGTTCTTTGTTTTTCATGTTTGTTTTCAATGTTTTCATTCGAAAGGACTCCTACAGGAATGTAGCTCTATCATTCTTCACACCTAAATGATACAGTTGTCATTCCCATGATCCAATCTTAAGTGTTTGCAGTAAGTTTAAGTAAAGCAGAAAGTGTCCCACTTTGGCAACTTTTAAGACTTGTGGACTTCAACTCCAAGAATTCCCTGGCCAGCATGGCTGACTGGGGAGTTGAAACCAACAAGTCTTAAAGTTGCCAAAGTTGTACATTTCTTATCTAAAGATATGAATAGCGGATTTTTAAAAATCTATAAAAAATGTATTTTAGTGGATGGAAAAATGAAAGGAAGACTGAGATTCTAGGAGAAATTTTTATTTAAAAACTGCCTATATATAACCAGAAAAAGTACACTATTTTTTTCTTTTTATACACTAATACAATAACTTACACTGTGCTTAGTACTAGAACATTCTATATAAACACATACAAAATCCCCATAAACACCCAAATGTAAATGATAAATAGTGAAAAATTCACTTTGCTCCTCAATGCCTTAATCACTATTGTGATTTTGCTTATTAGAATTGGAAGATATATGCTTAGGGATGGAAAGAATCCCAAGCATCAATCTGTAATCTGAAGTTTGATATAATCAGAAAAAAAAGAAAGAATTAATTTAACATACATAAAGCCAAAGTAGAAAATCGGTGGTTGCCCACTTTTACTGTGACAACAAGCTGGTAATCTTTTAAGCAGAATAACATTTCCAACTCTTTCTCCAGGTCCACACAGAATTTAATAAAATCACAAAATTAAGCAAAGTAAAAGATGCCAAATCTATAAAGAAGGAATACAATGAGAATGAATATGGAAATACTAAGGGTTCCTAAGTAGTTACAGTACAATAATTTAAATCTAAATTATAGCAGCAATTAAAAATGATGAAAGCAGCTATAAAGGACATTTTATTGCACCAAAATAGGTACCGTGTAGTTTGAAAATGGCAAAATCAAGGAAATTACACACAAAAGTATCACAAAGTCTTCTGCTAAGCAATAATGTAGTATAAAAAGGTTTACATTTGTACTGCATCACATCATCATAGTTTCACTGCATTTGATTTAATACTGAGGCCAATAATAATTTGAACCATATTTTTACATCAGAAATGGATCCTTTTGTGAAGCAGTTTGGCATATTTGACTTATTTTTCTGTAGGAAATAATAACAAAAATCTACAAGTTGGGGACAAAAATCAAAAAGCTGAATTCAAAACACTTCTGTGGTTTATTGAAACTGTTCAGACTGTTCTGTTTGTTTAATGAGTCATCCTAAAAGAAAAAAACTTCATTTTTAACCAGGTGTGTTCAACTTTGTTAACTTCAACTCCCAGAATTCTGAGAATGCTGGCTGAGGAATTCTGGGAGTTGAAGTCCTTGGGTCTTCAACTTGCCAAGGTTGGACGCTCTTGGTTTAAACTGTACATTTGTTTTTTAAGAAAATGCTTTTTCAAGGTATCCATTACTGTTTTAAATCCTTTGTCAGTATTTTAAGTTGGAAGTAGTGATATTTAAAAATATATAAATATAGCTAAGATTAGGTACGGATAACAATACCACAAATGAAGTGCAGCATAGAAAGAAGCCAAGCCTGTCCAAGTACATTTTTCATTGCCTTAAAACTACTATGTCTCTTAACAGTTTGTTTGTCAAGATTATTTGTAGATCTTCTACTTTTTCTTTTACAGGGTGGCTTAATCATTAGCCTGCAAAGATTGTAAGCTACTCCTAAACTCAGTCAACTATTCAGACTGATCAAGTATCATAATGCTATTACAATTATTGTCAGGAAGCACTGAACAAGCATGTGTATGTCAGCTGATTTAAACTTTAAAATGAGTTTGCTGCAAATGTTTTTTTTTACACACTTCCTCAACATAATCTGTTTGAAACCATCCAAAGAACATCACAAATAGTTGGTTGGAGGAGGAGCTATAACTCAAATTAACATGTTAGCTAATGTTCTGCTCTATACTCAAGATATATTATTTTTCCTTAAGGGCAAACCAGTGGAATTCCAGAATGCATCTATGCAGAGAGACAAACTAATTAATATTTACTTAATTTATTCTACCTAATCTGTACTATCCAACAGTTTTGGAGTAGTGTACAATATTTTGAAGAGTAGCATAAAATTAAATGAATACATACACAAATCCTTCCTCATCAATTTAAGCACATGAATGAGAAATTTGGCAGATGTTAGAATCATGGAACAGCCATTCACAAATTGCTATCAATTAGAACATCTGCAGTTAAATCAACAACTGCATTGATATAGTTACTGCTTTATTCTGTATCGAAATGGAAAGATTCTAACTTATTAATTGCTAGCACAACGTAGAACAAATTCAGAGCATTAAACTGAAGTGCTTTGAATTAAATTGAAATTAATGTGCTGCAAGTAATTTAGTATTTGTTACCACTTATTGCAGTACAATGCAACAACTAGAAGATCAATTCCTTCTGAACAACAGAACAAGCTATTTAGATTTTTATTTTTGGCATTACACATACAACTTCATTTCACTTTTTCCCTAGTGAATGAAAAGTATTATTTAGACCAGAGGTGTCCAACTTTGGTAATTTTGAAGACCTGTGGATTTAACAAGGTTGGCTAGGAAATTCTGGGAGTTGAAATCCACAAGTCTTAAAAGTTTCCATGGATAGACACCCCCAATTTAGATGAAAATGGCAAAATGCATTCCTACATCACTACTGAAGAATTAAAAAGTATGATTCAGATGTGATAGAAAACAAAGTATTTCATGAGATAGCAAAAAGGAAAAGGGATTGCCCCCTTGCCCCTCCTTGCCAGAGGGAGCGGCTGACACAACCACAATATGCTTAAATCGGTGTTAGTAAGAAATCAGAATGAGAATACATGAAACATATACATGGGGAGAATTATGTACACATCTGAACACTGTGGAGGACTGTGGTTTATTTGAAATCAAAAGAGAAAGCTTCTAACCTCATGAAAGGACTTACAAGCAAATTCATGGTTCACCACAACTCAATTTACATAGTGAAAAACAAGTATTGTATGGGCTACAGCTTTGCTTTGTTCTGTCTGTTTAATATTAAGTGCTCTCCTATTAGTATTAATCTAATTGATTACTTTGGAGCAACAGAACATATAAACAAAGCAGTTTTGCTGAAAAAATTATGCTGAAATTGCACCAAGGCAGGAAACTTTACTTTCACAAAGTAAAAATTAAAATAAAATCCAACAAAATAATTCCGGAAAAGCTTCTAAGGTTTCGAAGAAATGAATAAAAAAACATTTAATTTACTTGTGTTTTAAGTTATTTATGTAAGCTGCATTCAATGTAGTGGAAATAAACAAGCTTTTTAAAAGCACACTGTTATACACTATTGTGTTTAATTCCTCTCATGTTTAATTCCACATTCAGCTCTGAATACTTTCTGCACATTTCAAAATGTAAATCTAACCAATTTAAAATGTAATACAATACTGTTCTATATGAAGACCTGGTAGTAAACAGTGGGATTTATTTCTGTGTATATATGGATATTTATCACTCTTAAAGCCTTATTTTCAGAGAGCACAATAATAAATGGGATTTACATGTGTTCTAAGCGGCAATTCTATGTATATTTATCTGGGAGTAAACTTACTAAAGTCAGTGTCTTTTACATCAGAGTAAAAATTAATTAACATACACAGTTAAGTTTCATTGGAGTTTGCCCCATATTAAAAAGTATTTGCCTAATAATTGATTCTATTAAACATACACAAATATCAACCTGTTTGTTAAGGTTTGCATCTTAGAAGAAGATGCATATCTCCAATCATGTAATATTGAATCTACATGAGATTCATATCCTTGGTATTAGAAGACATGCTCAGTTAAGATGACATATTGAGCAGAAGAAATTAATAATTTGTGCTATTAAGTAAAACATAATTTCACCTCTTCATTTCAGAAACCCTCCACTACAAAGAGATTGGTATTTGACCTAACATAGGGCCCACAGCTGTTTTTATTTAAAAGACAAAATAGTTTCAAGCACAAAGAAAACTGAAGAAGAGCCACATTTTTTTTTAAAAAAAAGCCATTTTTAAAAAGCCATTTTTAAAATAAGATAGAAAGCTAGACTGATAAAATACCATTTTAGGCATTTAAGAATTTACAACAGTAGACAACATAATGGTAAAAAGTATTTAATGCACTAGTTAATCTATGCCCTGAGTAAAGTTAGCATTGAGCTAGAAATCACAGGGAAGAGTCCATTTTCACTACTGACTTTACTATCTAATGAAAACATTAACTGACCACATGTGGTCATTTCCTTCTTTTGACAACAGCAGAGTGCTCTGTTTATGGAAATGGAAAAATGAAGTCTAGGCACTGCATTTTTTTTACTTAGAAAACTATTTGAAACAAGTGCTTCCTAAGGTATTAAATAGGCTTCCTACAGTTCTCGCTTTTTCAACCCCAAGGATGAGGTTCTACATAAAAAGAAGCTCATCTGAAGAGATGGCCTTATCCCTGTTTTTGGGAGGTAGTCAAGTTTACCTATAAAAGACAATGTTCCCCATGGTACCACCATACTCTTTAAGAAGGAAACAGCTTAGGACACAACAAATTAAACGCAGCAAGAGAGAAAAATGTCTCATTAACAAGTACTGGCTTTGTTCAATAAAAGCTGCCTCAAATTTTTAGAGTAGTGGATCCCCCATCTTTTTTTATCAAAAAGTGTTTAAAATTCAACAGAAACTCTGTCATTTGAGGGAATGTATCTAGGTAAGTGTTTCTCAAGCTTGGCAACTTTAAAAGAGGAGGAATTCTGGGTGTTGAAGTCCATACCTTTAAAGTTGCCAAGCCTCAGAAACAATGGTCTAGGTCAGGGGTCTCCAACCTTGACAACTTTAAAACTTGTAGATTTCAACTCCCAGAATTCCTCAGCCAGTTACTGGCTGAGGAATTCTGGGAGTTGAAGTCCATAAGTCTTAAAAGTTGCCAAGGTTGGAGACTCCTGGTCTAGCTGTGCATATAATTCACATCTATTTTTCACTTGAAACACCTAGGACAAATAAAAGTTGACAGTCTAAGTTCTGTCATTTGAAAAGATTGTAAAATTCAGGTTCAATTATATCCATAATAACTAAGCATGGAAGTAATATATACTTTTTTTTGGTTAAGATTATCCAAAAATGCTACTATTTTCAATGGAAACCACTGAACAACTCTCCAAATCAGGCTATTAGACTGAACTGTACACTAACAGCCAGTCATTTCTTAATATTGGTAGACAACTTTATTTTCTTAGAACTGCATTACTGTGCAAATAATATTCCAGATATAGAGAGGTAATGAGCTGCAGGTTTAAAGCAGATGTTAAGGTATAAGGCAAATTAATAATAAGGTATAATATGTACCTGTATTTTTCTGATATTTTTCTGGTGTTTTCTACACAGAACTAACAGTATGTCTCATAATAACTCAAGTAGATTGCTTAAGTTTTCTTTTAATTCTTTCATTAAAACAAAACTGTATTTAAAAACAATGTATATACATTCTGTCAGTTGTAATAAGCAGGGGAAAACAGATCAACCACTGCTGCAAACATAAAGCTGAAAATCAATGGCTTCTGTTGGCGTTGGCTACATTCATAGAGACCTTATTAAAAGGATTAGCATCATTTTCTGCCTGTGATAAACATTAATATAAAACAATTGGGAGAGGGAGCCCATAATGTAACTATCAAGAAAGCTTTTCAGATAGTCAAAACCTTTCAATGCTTTATTCAGCCCAACATTTCTATTGCTAAGAGAGACAGTTGTTAAGTGAGTTTTGCCCCATTTTACGATCTTTCTTTCCACAGTTGTTAAGTGAATCACTGCAGTTGTTAAGCTAGTAACACAGTTCAGTGAGGCTGGCTTTGCTTGTCAGAAAACTGAAGAAGGTGATCACGTGACCCTGGGACATGGCAACTGTCATAAATACATACCAGTTGTCAAGTGTCTGTTGATCATGTGACCACAGTGGTTGCTGCAACAATCTCAACATTTGAAAAACAGTTATCGGTCACTTTTTTCTGCACCATTGTAACTTTGAATGGTCACTGAACGAATGGTTGTAAGTGAAGAACTACCTGTACTCATGGTAGGCATTCTGCTTTCACAATACACAAAAATAAAAGAATCTTTAGCAGATGGTTACTATGATGCAGACTATATCAAAACAGGGCTGAAACTGGAAAAAAAAAAGATATAAAGGCTAGTAGAAGTTCAACTATCGCAATGGGGAACAACTGTCATCCCAAAGATACTAGCAATTCTATCTGATTAGTATTGGAAATGAAGAGTTAATTTTTAAATCAATTCACAAATAATGATGTATGTATTGATTGTTTGCTTATGTTGATCTCGTAATTTACTATTTTAAAGCAGCAGTCCCTAATCTTTCCAGCTCAGCAGTGCAGTGGGGAGGGGGAAGAGGATGGTTTCACACGCATCCCTTCTGCTTGCACTAATGGAGTTTTGCACACTCGCCTACCGCTTGTGCGGCCTGGTTCCCAACCAGTACTGTGCCACGGACCGGGAGTTGGATACTCCCTTTTTTAAGAGATTTTCATTTTTGAACTACCCCGAGAACTGGAGTGGCAGGACAGGAGAACGGAGGTGAAGAAGTCTGGTGCAGGCTTCGAACACCTTTTCTGGCGTCAAGAGCAATCCCCCAGGGATACATGAACCCCGGAGAGGTTCGTGTCAACGTGGAGATCCTCGAGCTGCAGAGGGGGGAAGGCAACTCCCCGACAGTGAAGAGGGAAGCTCCCAAGCTCGGCGCTAAAGAGTAAGCTGTCATTTTATGGCAGCTTCCAATCCGGTCTGCCACTTGAGTGAATAAGCAAAGCAGTGACAGCCTGCGAGATCGAGTAACAGGAACAGAGAAACGGTTTATATCTTGGATTCTTTGAAGTCTGAAGGGAGTAGAATGACAGAAGAACGATAGCATAAATTCTTCTCTCCTGGTTGTGATAAGCACCTCTTGGAAGTCGGGCGGAGAGCGGCCAGAAAAGCAATTGGGAAAATTTTACGCTGTGAGGGGGAAGCTTTGGGGAAAGAGGGAGATTGCTAAAACCTGAAGATTGGAGATCAAGAACTGGTGAGGGGCTTTATTTGATTCTTGGACCTTTCTTTTTGACTCTATTTGAGAAGAGGGAGGCGATGGAGGTGAAAGAATATTGACATTGATTGAGTCTTATGAATCCTCAGGTCTGAGCACAACATGACTATTACATCTACTTAATATTGGGGAGAAGATAAATTGAGCATTATATTGGACTTTGGAAGATTTGTATGTGGATTTAAAAGTTGGAAAGCAAAGAAAGAAGCAGCAGCAAGAGGAAGAAGCCAGAGGCGAACAGTAGGCTGGGAAAGACGGTTTTGGGACTGCAGATTAGTCAGCACATTTCACCATTTGCTGATTGGAAGGCTGAAAAGAAACCTCTAGCTGGAAGATGGAACTTTAGCTCACCCAATTTGCTCTCTTTATTACGTGGTACTACTTAAGTTTACTAAGTTGGCACTATTTTCTCTTTAAGATGACTTCCTTGTTGTTGGATACTCCCTTTTTTAAGAGATTTTCATTTTTGAACTACCCCGTGATATCTACAAACACAGTTGCAGTTTACATTTAAGAAAAAGATAGCATAAGGCTATCAATTATATAAGGAAAAGTAAAAATGTACCGGTTCAAATGTGATGCAATCTAGCAAACAGCAAAGGAGCAGTCAATTACAAGTGAGCAAAATAGACTAATGAGCTGAACAGATTGGTTAAACTGTGTGTATGTTAACACCCTGTCATTGGGATAGGGGTGTTAACCTTTAAATATGTAAGTGTGAATAGGGGAGAATTAGATTATTTGTTTAGAGTTCTACTGAACTCAGATTATTTGTAATAAGTTGAGGTCAGTATTGTCCATGACATAGGAGTGAATGTGGAACAGCTTAACTTTTTCTTTTTTCAGTTCATTCTAAGCCAAATTTCAATTACTCTACTATACTATTTTGTTGGCTTATTAGCAGATCAACAAAACTTAGGATGTGAGGTTAATAAAATAACGAATCCTCTAGGATCCTTCCAGTGGAGGCACTTTGTGCCTCATTTTCAGAACCAACTAGGATTGCATTGTAACATTTCCTGAATTCTTAAGAACACCCATGAATGATACTCTGTAGTGCTTATAATGTGCTTATATTGATACAATTAACAAATTTTATGAAGAAACACTTGATATTGGATAAGGTAGTCAGGTGTTTCCTCACTAGTGTCATGGCTGAGTTATTAGGTCTCAGTATTTTGACTTCTGACATGCTAAATGCTTAATATATTGCTATTTAGTAGTGCAGAGCTCTGCTACGTGCCTTTAATGTATGGTAATAAGCACTAGTGCCCAGAGGCATAGTTAAATATATGTGATTCTTGTATGCTATTTTTCCTATTTGGAGACTTCAAAGGAACTAGTCAAATTAGTGTTCACAAATGGATTCTCAATTAATCCAACTTCAGAAGTTTTCATCTATACTCTAAATATCACGTACAGCATTTAGAGTTGCCTGTCATGTTTCTGTGTCAATTTGTATTTCTAGACAACCCCATGTTTCAGAAAATATGCTTGCTATGCTCATTTATTTAACTTCCAGTTTGCTTGCAAGAAGCCTTTAATATTATGCAGTTAGGGCTGTAAAAGGCAGGTTCCTTTTTGTTCTTCCATTTCTAATGGAATTGTTCATCTGTTATTTCTCTTAATTTTAAAATTATACTTTTCTTCAGTCATTCTGGTTATATTTCTATAAACCCTCCAAACATATCCTGTTTTTGCAAGCTATAAAGCAACGGTTAAAATACAGAAATACTTTGCAATTTAATTTCAGACTTGGAATTTGGTTTTATTACGTTAAAAACCCCATGTGCTTTCCGTGGGAGGTACAAATGCAAATTTAAATATAGAATTTGACCTTATTCTATAATAAAAGGGCAGCTAAATTGAATAGCTACAGTTGCCTCTATGTTACTGCAGCAAATCTAACTTGAATTTCAACTTAAAACTACAAATAAAGCAAAAATGGATTTCAAGTCATATTTCATTCGTTTCTTTGAAAGCCTTCACAAACTCAGTCCAGCTGAAGCACAAAAGAAATTGTCTTCCCCATCATAAACAACCTGCTTACTCCTGCCTCTGCATTTTCTTCTTTTCTGTCCGCATTTACGTGGATAACCTGAAGAAAACTCAAAACAAGCAAATCATTTTGTTGAGCACTGTACTTTCTCAAGAGGTTTAAATGTGTCTTGCAAAGGAGCCATGTATGGTCCTGTTGCATTAAATGAAAGATGAATAAGTCCCAGTGCATGGTAGATTGTCCAGTAAGTGAAACATCATTACAAAGATAACATTGATGGTCAGCATTGTTTATCATATCCTGTATCTATCATTTATATCATTGCTTACAATAAAAAGTATGAAACACTGTATATTTTAGGAATGAAAAAAATCTGCATGTGCCAAGGAAAATTGCAGGTAGGGATCTGATTAGATAGAAGTTTGTTCCTTGGTCATCATCTTACATTTCCATATCTTCCAACCTTCAAATTCATGAAAGCCTCCAAATTCACAAAAGCCAGAAAAAACCCTAAATACCAAAGTTCTTATATTGAACTAGTTAGTTTTAGTTTAGGACTTTTTTTTTTTTACAAAACTATTTCACATAACCATATCCCACTTTCACTATAATAAAAATAAAAAGTCATCGGACTGTAAGATTATCAGAGCAATTCAAATGTGAAATAAAAAGAGTTCAGAAGAGTAGTGATGCAATGCAATTATAAAATGAAGACTCGTACTCAAAACCATTTTGACATTGTCATGCTGAACGATTTTCCACTGTTTTCACTGACCAATGACTTTGAATAGGTGCATTTATTATGGATGAGGTATTTAGGAATGAAATCATTGTTCACCAGTAGATCTATCTTTCTGTTTTCCTATTACTCCAGTTATATTAGTGACTTTAAAATTTGCACTTAATTTATATTAACACCAAACAGTTCCTTTTTAGGTGGGGCTATCCTACAAAGATCCATAAAAATTAACAAAGTGGCTTTTAAAAATATAAATAGAACTAAACCCAACATCAGCAAATTAAGTTTAGCAGTGGCAGGAATAACAGAAGGGTGAAAAGTGCCAGGGGTCCTAAGTACACCTGTCTGTAAAGAAGATATTGCACTAAACAAAGACCCTAAAGAGTTTTAAAAGATCTTCACTGGCCTAGAAAAGAAACTAGCCATTTTCTATATGAACTTGCAAACCTTGCCTGATCCTCCTCCTTACACGTAGACAAAACGTGATCAATGAACTTATATTCTTCTTCCACGTTGATACAGTCCTGCATAGGAGCACGCTTCAGGCGCTTGGTTTCTTGACTGTAGCCTTGTTTGTTGCATTCCGTTAAGCAGTCAACATCCATGTCTTGTGTGGTATGGCCAGTTGTAACATGGGGAAGTGAATTATTAACTGTTCCATCACTATTGTTTGAAGTTGATGACCAGATGTTTGGAATTGGACACTTCTTTAAGTGGTGTTGAAGGTAGAAGACTTGACGTCTGTAAAGAACAAAAAGACATATGGAAATCAAACTTCTATGTCTTTTAACACGTTCTGTCCCTCTTCAAAATACAGAGCATAACAGACAGTTTGAAAGACGAAGCTCCAATCAAACATAACCTACATTTTGTAAATGTCTGAATACTATAGCTAAACACTCCGTGAATTCCCTGAAAAAGAAACAATATTTGTATACTTTTGTCCGTCAGCAGAATTTACCTTGCTGATGGATCATATTCCCATTACTACTGTATTCTTCATACATCCTCAACAAACTTGTTCTAGAGGCTTGGGAATTTAGAGGGGGAATTCACAAGACACCAGAAAGGGAAACCTGACTTGGAAAAAAGTGCATCAGATTTGAATGGGGTAATCGTCCCTTTCAATCTTCTGTTCTTTAAATATTCTTACCTGTGATACCACAATGTTTCATGTCCTGGATAAGTGTTAATTAAATCAGTGCAGAGCTCTATTTCCTCTTTCAGATACAACGAGTGATCTGGCAGTTGCTTTTCCATGCAAAAAGCTTCTGCATCTTCATCTGCTTCATCTTTTGGAAAACAGGATGTTTGTTGATTGGCTGGGTGATCAAATAACTTTATAATACAATCAGTCCCAGTTCTGACTATCAAAGATTTTAATAGAAACTGACGGTAGTGGAATCCACTATGGTCGGAAACATGTATGGAGACCCAGTGTTTAGTGGAAGAAAGTTCATCAAGAAGAATCTGAGGATTAAAAACATAAACAGAATGAAGTATTCAACATAAACACTAATCAGCTTCAGATTTTTCTTTATGACAATGTACTCTAAAATATGGACTTCTGTGGATTTATTGCAAGAAGTGTATGATACACACCAAACATGGAAAACAAAACACAGCCAAATTAAAAACAAAAGCAAAATTTACACAAATGCTATCCAAACGTATTTAATTATTTGGGAAAGGTGAGCAATGAGAAATCTGAATTAGCCTAAGAGGAAGGAAGAAAACCAATTGATGTGGGTTGCTTCTTACTTCCTTCTCCTTAACCAATGCTGGTGTATCAATTTTTTCTGGCATACAGAAGAATTTCCCTATCACCGTCATGTTTCTTCATCATAACTGGCAATAATCCCTAAAAGTTGCACATACATGCACTCAATCCTTAACCAGCACTACTTCCATATATATCCCTACTGTACTTTATTAGAACTAACTCCCTACCCTATCTAGGGCTCCCATTTTATCCCACTGTTATGGGATTACATTTTTGTTATTATACGAAATGCAACATCTACCCATCCCAGATCCTTGGATAGGACTCCTTAGGTAGACAAAAATGCTAAATCCAGTCTAAACATCTGGCTGATTATTAAATATGGAAAGAATATTTTACTTTCAGATATTAAGACTGATGTGACAAATTCCAATTGGCTCAAAGAATTCACTTTAGAGCAGGGGTCGCCAACCTTTTGGACCTCAGGGACCACCAAACTCATAATTTTAGATCCCAGGGACCACTAACCAGTTCTTTGGGCGTAGCCTAATTTGTGGGTGTGGCTTGGTGGTCATGTGACAGGCTGGGCATGGCTTGTATGTAAATATTATAAATATTGATATAAATATTGATTTTTTTATAAAAAAGAGCGTCTTTTACCCACAATCAGGCAAAGCAGGCAGATTAAGTTGCTCGCAGAATCACAGATTCATTCAGAGATCTATTTATCTGCTATTGGCTAGCTCAGTCTGTCACATAAAATTTGCTTGCAAGCAAACTCACAAAATTAACTCACAACACACCATGCATGTAAATATTGAATTTTTTATTTAAAAAAACCAGCAACTTTTACTCAAAATCAGGCAAAGCAGGCAGATTGAGTTGCTCACAGAATCATTCAGTGGTGGGCAGGGAGGGTTCCTGCGGGCCATGTGGGCGGCGCAGCCTTGTGTTTCTGAGCAGCCTGGATTAATTGCTTTGTGGGGGTGTTCTGGGGGTGAGATTTCTCTGCAGCCCACCAAAATTTTCTTGCGGCCCACCAGTTGGCGACCGCTGCTTTAGAGGACACTCTGAATAACTCTCAAAAGGGAGGAATCAGCTGTTTTGTAATAGGCATTTCTGTTTTTGTTAATAATGTATTTTGAAAATTTGTGAGCAAGATTCCAGTTGTTTAATGTCATGCTAATCCATTAAACCAGGATAAGCTTAGATAATCTGAAAGGCACCCATAAATTATACTATGGTGTTTCTAAAGTACATGATCTCTTTGAAATTATACTGATATATATTTATAATTTGCATTTTTATGATACATTGTTTTGACATATACTTCTCCCTCTACTTTTTATACCTTTGAGTCAATGTTGACGCCTAGACTAGTCCCTGAGGTTTTCTTGGCAAGATTTTTGGAAGTGGTTTGAAAGACAATGGATGCCCAAGGTCACCCAGCTGGCTTTGTGCCTTAAAGTGGGACCATAGAACTCATGATCTTTTGGTTTCTAACCTGGTGATTTAACCACTTCATCAAATTGGTTCTCATATTTAAATTTAAGATCATAGATATGAAAATAAATGGCATTTAAATATCTGCTGAACAAAAACTGGTAACGATAAATATGCCCTCATGTTGAGCTTGACCCCTAGTTATTTCATTCACAAATCTGTCATTTTGTGACATAGAGAGGGCAACTTCACAAAAGTAATTTCTTCTGGAATTTTTCGACTCAGTTTATCTTAAAGCCTTGGAATTCCCTAATCCCAGTGGTTCTCAACCTGTGGTCCATGGACTGCTGGGTAACTGTGATGCGATCACAGGGGGTCTACAAAGTCTTGAAGAAATGTTATGATTTAAAACTTGAATTAAGTCTTGGGGTCTAGGGCTATGATCTGTAGCAGCAAAAAAATATTTAAAGGGGGTCCATGGTGAAGAAAAGGTAGAGAACCACAAATTCTAGGACTAACCAGGTTTGCTTAACTTCCAGGCTCAAACAAGAATGGTGAAAAGCCCTGCCATTTTAATAGGAGCCTTCGTTTTCATCCTATTTTGCTTTTCTACTGATTTCCGTCAAAGGAGGTCAGAACGCCAGGTGACTTCAGCTTTAATCTATTTTTTTGCATGAATTAGCTCAATTCTTTTTATTATTTTCTTACTGCCCCAAATACTTATTAGTCATACTTAATTGAATTCAGTGCAAACATTTTCAAGAAATGTGCAAACAAACATTTATAGAACTTCTATTGCATCCATACCTTTGTATTGAGCTTTGCCAAATTCTGTAACACCCAGATACGATGGGACCAGGCATTATAATTACTTGGATATCGTCCAGCAGCGTCACAACAAACATCCATTTCTTCTTTCACCAGCCGCTGTATTTTTTCTGTGGGTAATGCTTCTAAGTTCCCTTTAGTCACAAGAGTGGGCAAGGAGTTTTCCTGGAGTAAATGTTGCAGAACCCATCGTCTGATTGTGCAGAATTGAAAGTGTGAAAGCCAATTTAATGAAAACATTTTTATTTATTATGTCATTAAATGAGTTCTTAATACAGCACATAAGGATATTTATATTCCTCCCAAACCCAGAGTCACCATGAGTTAGTCAGGCGACCATATAAAATTTCTCAATAACAAAAATAAAAATTTGAAAAGAAGTTCCATTATACTATAAAACATTATCTAAGATAATGAAATTATTTTGTTAATAGTTCCAACCAATAACTTCCTGTTTTATCGCAATAAGTCCCTTAAAAACTGATAAATAAGTCCTGAATACTGACCATACACATATTCAGCCCCAAGATTAGGATATCATGATTTTAGCAAACCACATACAGATGTATAAACTCCTTTGTTTTAAATTTATTTCAAATGCAGAGCAAATATTTAAAACTATATATACAAAATGCTAGGTTTTTCCTGGTTCAGCTATGATGGTTACTTATGGCTTCCTGCTTTATTTTACTATTCATTTAAAAGGATTAACAAAGGAGCTACATACAGGTTAACAATTCTTGTATACAATGGAAGTAAAACAATTCTAAATTTCTAACCTAAGATATATTTTTCATCCTTTTTTTTTTACAATATTAAACAAACTGATATAACTTACTACTTCTTTATACTTTCCTGCTTTGACTTTTTTTCCTACTTTAAAATTCAGAATTTGTTTTTGAGAATTTTGTTTTTTTAGCTATGATTACAAGATTAATTTATTGGATAGCTACAAACAATTCAGAAATATGTACACAATGGAAATATGTATATGTGTATGCATAGAATAGGATAGAGTAGAATTTTTTATTGGCCAAGTGTGATTGGACACACAAGGAATTTGTTTTGGGGCAAATGCTCATGTGCACACACAAACACACACTCAAATACTGTACAGCAAAGCAAAGATCTGCCTAATGCTTTCCTTTTTTCTCAGATGACATCTACCACTGATCTCACAGGGATAAACAAATGTGTATTTCAATATAAAGAAGTAAAACCACAAACCTATGAATCCATGTTTCTGGACTTTTTGGAAACTTAGTTAGTGCTAATTTCCCAAGATGTAAGTCTTTAATGGGGTTTAAAGTGCCAGACAATATCAATTCTTTTCTGAAACAAAAAACAAAGACATAGCTACTAAAGATAATTTGCCAAGCACTTGCTTCCTAATAAAAGTAATGATACATGATACCCACCGTGTACCTATTTAAACATTAGTAAGAAACATCAGATTTATAATATTAAAACTTCACAACCATGTGCCCTGGCCTGGCCTGAAGAGTCAGATTAGGAAGATGGCCAGGAGGACATATCCTGTGCTGCCAAGCCATTAGCCAGATTCATTGTTCCGACCCCCTGGACACCCGGAAGGGAGTCTCCTCCATATAAGAATGTAGTAATTGTGTGTGTCTAAATACTAAATTATGTTTTTCTAATAATTGAATTGAACACACACACACAGATTTCAAGATGAAAATTGCAATTAATATGCAAGAAGTGCTTCATAACAATATACAGGGAGTCCTCAACTTATGATCATAATTTCTGTTGTTAAGTGAGATAGTTAAGTGAGTTTTGCACCATTTTATAACCTTTTTTTTTTACCACAGTTGTTAAATGAATTACTTCAGCTGTTAAGTTAGTAACACAGTTGTTAAGTGAATCTGGCTTTTCCGTTGACTTTGCTTGTCAGAAGATCACAAAAGGTGTCCCCCAAAGTTGATCCTATGACCCCCATTTTCAGCCCATGGCCATGCCCTCTCTTCAGCACGGCTAGCTGTCTCCCATAAAGATAAAATCTTTATGCTTCTATCCTTCCCCTTTAATGGGGAAAGGTAACAAGATAACCAACAGCTTTCCTGTAAGAACTCTAATCAGAAGAAGAGTAGGATATCATCCTCAAATTCCTTTCTTTCAATTATTAGCATTAACATTTGGAAAGAGGTACATCTTGGGTAAAATCCTCAGTGAAGGATGTGGCAGGGAGTGACGTCTCTTCTTCTGTCCTACTTGCATTATTTTTGCAGTTTCGGACAATATGATGCAATGGTTATTTGCATCATCTTCCATTTTCAAGAAGCATAAGTGGATTCAAATGTGGAAACACCATCCTTTGCTGTTGCAATATTAAACCATGCCATCTGCCACAAGGGTATAAAAAGAGATTCTTTACTTTTACGAAGCCTCAAAAATCAACCCAAACACCATGTTAAATCCAAGTAGGTAACACAATCCTCTCAAAGGCAACAGCATAGACAACCAATCTTTTCCCACAGTCCTCTAGTACCCAGATGGCATTTCTCTGAACAGGATTAAAAAAATCTATGAAGTAATAATACAAGAGGATATTAAGACAGGTATGGTGATACCTACTGTATAGCAAGACAACATCGACTCTAGATATAAGCAAATGGAATAAATTAAATTAATGGAAACCTCTTCCATTGATCTCTCAATGCTCTCTTATTCTTTTCACTAATCACCGGTCTCCTAATTAGAGCTGCTTCAGGTATCATTATTTTCTATACTCTTCCATGTATTAAAATATAGAAATAAATGAAGCGGGCTAAGTAGCATTCATGCAATACATTAGCAAGAGGGCGCATCTACGGCTGACAACTGGCATATAACCTCCAATGTGCATTCACAACAGAGTACAATTTCTGATATGCAATTTTTCAGGTAGATTAATAAATAATTCAGGCTTATGTAAATAACATTAATCACTATTTACAAATTATTTAAAAACTGACACATCAAAATTACAAAACTAAAATTAAATTAAGATGCAAAAATGACATTTTTACAATATATTCTATCAATCTATTTCAGTAGAACATGAAACTGAATGATTTATAATATGGAAGTTCTGATTATTTCCCCCATTTTTCATACAAATGATTACCCCTAAACACAATTTAACTCTTGTATTAGTCTTAATTAGCATATGAAAATAAACTATAATACAGCAAGAATGAATCTTAATAACCTCTTGGAAGGTGAATGAAAAATGCAGGGTCTATCTTCACAGTGGTGATCAGAATTTAAAGTAGTGATTACAGATCAAATCTGAAGACTTAGTGAGAAAGCATATATTTAATCCATCACTGAATTATTTTATTACAAATAGCAAAAGCCAATGTTGCAGGATTCAGATTCAATCTTTTTATTCATAATTATTGTGTTCTGCCTTCATGCCTGTGTTCATCTTTCACTGGACAGATTATTCAGCATCTCTTCCCGACCTTTAATGTATCTCTATCAAAAACTCAAGAATAATTTAAAAGTGGACAATTCTAGGATATCTCAAAACATGGCCTGAAGAACTGGGATTTCTTGTAAGTCCCATTAATTCACGTTCTTAAAACTGTTAAAATGGTATCTACAGATTTGAGACCAAGATTGATTCATGAAAAAGTTATATTTAGGGTGTATTGGAATCCCCAAAAATATATTTGAAAAGATAGATGTTAGGTTTTTATTTATACTGGAGATATAAAACATTTTAGGGTAGCTACTTGGCTGCTACCTTTTGTACTATCTATAGCTTCCAAAGTCATTTTTAACAGCTCCATGTAGAGCATCCTAATGATAATCTTATCTTGTGGGTCATAAAGACAAAAATCATTGACCTATGGCATCTTGATCCAAAAAGGGCAACAACTGGCACACAAGGCTTAGCTGGTCCAAGGCTTCCCAACCTGCTATTGTAGGAGACATGGGTCCAACAGAACCTACTCTTACAGAGGGATTGCAATCCTAATACAAGCATCACCTCAGAACCAAGATATTTTTGAAGAAACAATAACTCCAATTTGCTAGGATTAAGCTCGAGCTTGTTTTTATTTATTGAGACTTTTAGCCCTAGGTTTATATCTTCCAAACTATATCATATCTAGTTTGACCCGCAGTATCCATGTACAATTGAACATCATCAGTTTTACATAATAGGTTTCTAAAAAAGGTGAGGATTTATAAATATGTATATGCATGAGGACAAGGAGGCAGCATTTGGAAATTACTCAGGCAGATGTCTCTCAAATTCACCAAAGTTTAAGAAGGAGGACTACAAGGTAAGCATAATCAGACTTGCAAGATTTTGTTGTTATAGCTCATCTCAATCACAGTATTTTTGGCCTTCCAGTGCAGTTATTTCCCAGTCTGGCCTATCTAGCAGGGCTGACAATTTGCTTTGCATATTGCTTTGAGAGTTCTATATTCAAAAGGCTCTTTACAATTGTTGATTAATAAAATACAATATTGCACAATTTAATATCTGGTTCGCCCAAACAGGTCCAAACAGGTCGAATCCCACCCCTGAACAGAGGTACTGATTTAAAAATCATTATACATGAAATAAGATTTTCTGTAATACATAACGTATATGGTTACTCAAAAGCAGCCTTGTGTGAACTTAGAGAAGAATGGAATCCATGAAATCATACCCTAAAACATGAGGCTATCGGCAGAAGTCTTTAAATTTGTATTTACTAATCTTACCTTACATTCCATGCTGTAGTGAAATCTGGGTTCAGCAACAACAAGGTACACGTGATATCTATCAATTCTAAATAGAGATAAAGAGGAATAAATATTTTATGAAAAGGCATACATACATTTATGGGACAATTTTTTTTAGCCTTATACTTTATACGTGATTTTTTTCTCTGTTATTTGTGTTTGTGTAATGTTGATGAGATTCTTATCCCTTCTTTCAAACCCTTTGAAATTGTATGAGATTTGGAACATTTATCCCAAATTACGTACCAAATATTCTGTATCAAAACATCTGAAATGGCTAATGATACTAGGAGTTAAGAGTTCGGCAATATTTGGGAGATTAAAGGCTCTTATGTTCTGATAGAAAGTAGAAACATCAGACATGTTAGCAACACAATAAATAATGCAATTAATCAATTTCACATAAAAAGAGCCAAAGTCCATCAAAATCACATTAAAAAGAAAGAGTGACAATATTATTCTTGTTCAGATGAAACTTAAAATCTTCCTCACCATGTAAAGAGCTTTTATTGTATTATAGAACTCAATGCCTTTGGGATGCAAGTACACTATGAAAACAGCAAACTAAAAGAGAAAAAGAAAGAAAGAAAGAAAGAAAGAAAGAAAGAAAGAAAGAAATAGGAAGAAAAAGAAAGATGGCACTGCGTGAAGACTCTACTGGCAACAGTTTAAGAGAGAAAGCAGGATGTACAGAACAGACAAGGGAAGGACACTGGCGATATAGAAAGTGACAAAAGAAAACAAACAAACAAAATGCTGTTTAGAGGTTACATGTTATGGAAAAATACACAGCATGTTAGGGATGCAATAGCAAAAACAAGAGAAAATTGTGTTAAAAAAGAAAGATTTTATTTTATAATGGAAACATCTACCCTCTTTGAGTTATATATATATATGTATATGCATACATACATATATACATATATATATATGACCTTTTGAGTAATTTCATATATAACTACGGCTTCATTGCAATTTGAAATTGTGAGAACTGATAAGAAAACAACGTATAGTTGTGAAATGATATTGCAGCAGATAACTTCAAAGAAATGATGTTTCTTATCAGAAGATATACAGCCAAAGGAAATTTATATAAACAAATAAATTTCTACAGGCAATTCTTCAGTAAAGCATTTCTATTTCATTTCATCTTCCCAAGAATCAGTCAGTTGGGTTTCTAAGCGTAATCTTCACAGGTCTATTTATGGCTTACTCTTAGATTTTTAAGGAAAGTTAGATTATGTGTTCATACAGTCAGGCAAGATTTGAGCAAAACCACAGGGGGTCTTTATGATTTTAATTTAGTTTCTTATCATAAATGTCAACAAGGAATTTATAGTACTGGAAAAAATACAACATCCATTCTGTTTTTATTACATTAATGCGTGCAATTTGTCCAATGATTATTTGGTGCAACAAATAAATATGTCAAGATAAATATATAGATTACACCAAAAGTTAGACCCCCACAGAGTTCCCCAACCTTTTCAGCTTTGTGGAATGGAGGGAGGGAAGAGGGGATGGCCCCCCGCATGTGGCAGGCAAGCATGCATAGGTCCATTTGCACAACCAGCAGACATGTGTATCTACAGCTCACGCAAATGGAACACACATGCATGTGGTGCCAGCTGCTCCTGCAACTGGGAATGCACATGCATGATTGCCCACCAATTCTGTGGTCCGGCTCCAAAAGGCTCAAGTGGGCCATGGCCTGGAGGTTGGGGAGCCCTGCCAGAGAATTTATTATATAAATTACATTACATGTTTGAATTCATTATTTTTTTCTAAATAGTTCCTTACTCATTGGATGCATGACCTTTGTACCCTCCTAAATACAGTAACAATTTCTCTGAAAAATATTAATACAATATATTTTGATTGGCCCATGAAGCCTGTATATATCACAGCAGGAACAGCATGTTATCTTACAATACTACAAGATGGGATAATATAGCACACTTTCGATTTAATCAGCACAATCAAGATAAAATGCAACAAGCAATAAAAATAGTGATACATCTGTATTTATAAAGTTTACTAGCATCTCTATTTAAATAGATTAAAGTCAATATAAAATTAAATCTGTTTAAAGTATTATTAAAATCAAGGCTAACAATCAGGTCTCAGTTTTCTCAATTTGCATTAAAAAGAAAGAAATGTTCCTTCCTCTCTGCAGCTCTGCTTGATAACTTTGGGGGTGGCTCTATGGAGGGGGAGAGGAGATTTAGGAAAGAGACTATCATTTGGGCCATTTCTTTATTCTTTATTGGCCAAGGCTTCCACACTCTTGCCAACTGGGATGACAAATGTTTTCAGCAACAAAGTAGGCATTACAAAGCAAGTTTGTCCCTTAGACATCATTATTATCACTTTCTTGCTGACAGTAGAAATGAAAACGAGAGATGGGAACTCAGAGGTTTATTTTCTTTTCCTTGAAATGGGCGGGTTGGATTTTCCAATTTTACCTTCCCTTGCTTCTAATGTGGTAAAACAGTGGCTATTCCCAAATTGTCTTTATCCTCTGGGAATACTGTATTTTAATTCGGTAGGGGAAAAAAAACCCTTGAGAGAGAGGGTGGCTGTTCACATAAAGCATAACGATCCTCTACTGCTATGAATGGTTCATATAAATCAGTTGAAATTCTTTTGGGAAGCATCTATTCGCTTCAAACTTCTCCTTCCCTCTCTCTAGACAAGTGGCCTTCTTCATCTCAAGCTGAGAAGCTTGATTAAATCCCTTTCACTTTCACTATGGACTGGCCTAGAAACATATCATCCGTATTATGTTGTGCTCTTGAGAAATGGGTCCAATGAAGAACTGTTAAAACAAAGGACTCTTATTTTATTCTGACTGAGTAAAAAAACAGAGTAAAAAAATAATCTGTCTTGACATGAAACCCTAAAAGGAACTAGAATTCCAAGAAATGTATTGTTTGTCTCTTGAAAAGGCTAGTCAATAAACAAAGCTCTTTAAAGTAGGAAGGCCTGGATATGTTCAGGCTGCCCAGGAGGTGATCTGTAATGGGATGCATATGCTCTCCTCTACGGGAGAGGTAGTCCCATCAGCTATGAAGGAGGATGTAGTACAGCCTCCCAAAACACTACTGCTGGACCCAATCATTATGTACTATTTTCACTCCAGTCTCCTTTCCAGGGATGGTGGTGGAAAGGGTAGTTAGGCACATGTCCCTGGAACACAGCAACCGTATCAACCGCCAAGTGCCCAAATTTTGATCATAGGACTATGGGGATGCTGCAACAGTTCTAAGGGTGAAGACTGGTTATAAACCACCTTTTTCAATGCCATTGTACCTCTGGTCATTAAACAAATGGTTGAAAGTCAAGGAATGCCTGCAAGTGGTTAATGGCAAATGCTTTAGGTGCCTGCCTTGCCAATTTTCAAAACAATTTTCAAAATATTAAAACTCTAGTTGCTTTACAAGATCATTCCTTATTTCTTCAGCTGCAGTGCTATGTTTCTGGCAATCATGTACACCAAGTATAACCTGGAGTATTGATGAGTGAATACTATGCTAAAAGGCCACTGATTATTCCACTGATTCTTTTTAGCATATAAAAAGGGTACAACTATGTACAATATTAATCATGCAATCATGCTTTCAATTGCAAATTTGTTGAGAATTCAGAAAGATTCCCCTGAGGATAGCTGGGAATGATTAGGTTATTTTTACAAGAAGGAATGGGTGACATGACAATGAGCTAGAAAAAGCTTTCATGACAGCAATATTTTGTACTTTATGGAGTGACTTACCTTCTTTGTTGAACCACTGCTTTCTTAGTTTGTAGTGAAGAAGCTTGTTATGAACATAAGGCAAAAGAAATTTGACACACCAGCTTTCCACTCCAAGTTTATTTTCAACCAGAACTATTGGGCTTCGATTATATCTGGCTTCGGGGCACGGGATTAATCCAATTTCATCTCTTAAAATAATAACAAAAATTAGATTAACTATACCTTCCTTTCATCAGATTTGCCATTTTTTGCATTAACCACTAGCCTACTAACTTATTAATGAAGAAGTGCTCCAAAAGAGTTTCTCCTGCAGACCAAATAACATTGTCGCGCACAGAAGATTCCAACTTGCAGGTCATATTCTTCTAACCCTAAGCCTAGAATCTCAAAAGATGACAATGATATGGATCCCCAACCCCAGATGCCAAATGACCACCAAGAGGACATCTTGAAATACACAGTGAAGAATGTTCATGGAAGACTTGAAGATTCTAAAGTTAATATATGAAAAGACGCTGTAGTATTCACCAAGACCAAAAATACTGGAGATCCCTTGTTGCCCGATGTGCTACATAACATGGCAGGATCTAATGCTAATGCTACCCATGGCTCTATCCACTTTATTCTGCCTACATAATTTGTTTTCCTTCCAATGAACCAATTTAAATGTTTCTTTTTATGTAATTAATAGCACTATCTTATATATGTTGATTTTTCAGGATAGTTTTATGGCAAGTGCTCAGAGGATCATAAAGCTGTAATTGTATATATATATTTAATGGAAGCTCTAAAATGTTGTAAATACAGTAATAAAAAAGCTTTATTGTATTCTAAATATGCCTGGGAAAGAGAATATGACTATACCAGAAAAAAAAAATTTCCCCTAAAACTGCATAAAATTGGCAGGTGAGAAATGAATACAGACTACTAACCCATTTTGTAAAGTCTAGGCATTTCTATTTTCAAGTATTCTCACTGAATAAACAGCATTTACGTCCCGATAACTAATTTCAGTGTTTTCTGTAGCATTATGACAAAGCCCATTATCCTGTTCATTACTCATGGAAATTTCTCAGACTATATGCGGTTTAATTGCCATTATTTGATTCTTTTGATTACTTCATTTCAAAAGGAAATTGACAATTTAAACATGCAGAATTTGAAAATTCTGCTTAGGAATAAAAAAATCATAACTACATAGCAGATATTTTTAATTACATTTATTTTTATTCTAACCTTTCAAAAATCACCTGGCATGTATCATTTCTAACTCATTTTATCCTCATATTCTCCTTATGGTAAACTATTTATTGAGACTCACTCGATAAATTATCAAAGGGGAATCTGATATTTCATTATATACTCGTGAGAGTTTTAGGTGGCAAAATACACCCCAGAGTTGGGTTTGATTTATCCATGGATGAACCTAGAAGATACTATGTAGGCTGAATTGTTCCTTCATCTCATCCTGCGCACCCTTTTTTTTGAACTATTATCATTTGGCAGACAGTACAAGATAATAAAAAAAGGACAAATAGGCTGAAAAACAGCTTCTATCCCAGGGCAGTAATTCTATTGAATTCTACTGTATAGTGCAATATTAATGCAATATCAGGGGTTTTCAATTCAATGTATAGAATGTGAAGGATGTGCATTTGTGTTTATTTTCATAGTCATAATGTACAGTGAAGATGGTATCTAATTTAATTGTATGAGGTGCAATGACAATAAAGTAAACTAAAACTACCTATATAGCCTGTATACTCTTTCGTATAAGCCCACCCACAGATACAATAACTGCAGATACAACAACTCAAGAATTTTTAAACACAACAGCATGAAAAATGTGCCACCCATGCATAAGCCAATTGTGAAAATTAAAACATACAAAAATGTCAAGATTGGGTTATCCAGGGAAGCCCATTTTCCATATATTGGTTAAACATTTAAGGATCAGCTTATCCACAAGACATTTATTATTTCAATGTATATAGCTGCCCTTCGCAACTACGTGATTCTGAGCAGCTCAGAACAATTTAAAAAAAGTATAAAAAAGCAAAATGCAAAACCCGATAAGTATTCGAACGTTTTAAAAAATCCATCCAACACAATCCACAACTGAGATGTATGAAAACCCATTAAAAATAATCAACACATTGTTTAGCTTTACCACAAATCCAGGTTCTAATGCCTGATGACAAAACCAAGCTTTAAAACAACCAAAAGAGGGATATCAAAAGAAAAAAGAAAAGAAAGAAAAAACCTTGACACTATAGCCTAGAACTGAGGAGACGATGTTAATGGGAAGTACCAGACAATCCTGAACCTGTTGGGTCATCCTTTGAGAGAAAGGTAGTGTACTTTGATGGGACCAGACCGAACATTACACTTTAGGTTAACCATACAAATTTTTTAATCTCAGTGCTGGATGGTCCATGATCATTTACAAAAAGTATGAATCATAAATAAATAGAAAAACAATTGCAGTGGAAAGTAAATTTCAATAATAAATCAATATTTACTTTCTTAAAGAAATAAGAAATAGAATAACCACAAGCAGGAGGGAAAAACAGTAGAAGCAGGAACTTTTGACTTCCTGACAGGTTCCCCCCAATGATTTTCCTTATGAAAATTGGCAGAAATCATTGGCATTCTGCAATGGTCACAACTTTCAAACAAAACTGGTCTGAATATAGTGGAAATTACAAGTCCACAGGAAAAATGGATCCTGATATATATTTTTTAAGTTAGCAGATTTTAGTTACATTGATTCAAAACACATGAGAGTTTTAATTGTCTACAGATGTGAAATGTCTGATAGAATTATGAAGTTGATTGCTACAAAAACATATGGAAAGATATTGTATAATATGCAACAAAGAAAGACATAATTATTAAGAATATAGTCAGAGAGAGTAAGCAACAGATAAGATTAAAAGAGACAGTAAAAATGCAAAACAATTTTGTTTTAGAAGTTGGTGAAATGGACTTAATAAGGCACTGCCAGCAGAGAGAAATGCTAAAAGCTCATATTATAAAAGAACTGCAAGGCTGCATGTAAACATGATGAAAATGAAGAAAGATGGATGTTATTTTCTTATACAGGGAGGAAATTTTGTAGAAAGTTTATACTAAATGCATATTGAAACAAGTGAAAACAATTGTATACTTCCACCTAAAAGGAAGCTTATACACTTAAACAAGGAAAAGGATCACCTACATCAAAAGAAAAATACAACTGACTACAGAAGGAGTACATTACTGAAAAGAGTGGTAAAAATGAATGGATGCTGAATGAATATGAACTGAATACAGTATTGAATATCCAGTATGGAAAGAAACATATTGAGGTAGGTTGGTCATATAGATAAATAAGGAATTAATGTATTAAGGAAGACTGAATGGTAAGACGAAGGGAAAGATTCACAAGATTAGGTGAATCAGATGGGGTGGGGGAGTTGTTCTTTAAGCAAGGATGATTTGCCAAGATACAAAGGTGTGGAGAAATTATAGTTCTTTCTTTTTTTAATCTCATGTCTCTTTAATTAACTTTGGTATGTCATTTCTTGCTCTGTTCCTCTTCTCTGCATAACATATTCTAATTGGGAATACTATGATAGGATGTATGGATGAAAGTTCAATACACACATATATATTCCACATACTAAGAAAAAAATATTGTCCATTGCTTCATATACTGGAAACATTTTTCTTTCTGATTAGAAATGCTTCTGGATATAATTTATTTAAATATGTTTACTTAATTATTGTTTACAGAGCAACCTCAATCCAAAAGGAGGCAATAACAAGCAGTTCTTTATTACCCCATATAAAACTGTATTGATATGGTTGAAGTTACTGTAGTGGGCTGTCAGAATATAAACTCAATGTGAGGAACATACTTAATATACTTCCTGTATGAAAAAGAACCTGAAGATTTACATTAAAAGTATAAGACACTGAAAAATAAAGCAGGAAAAACTCCCAAATGGTAAAAGTGACCAGATGGAAAATGAAAATTTTGGGCAGTAAGACTATTTAAGTAATGAATAAAAGCAGATTTTCAGAATCAAGCAGGAAGGGATTAAATCAATAACAACAAAAAGTGGGAAAAAAGATCAGAAAAACCACCCGCAATGGACAATTAAAGTAGGGCATAATAAGAGTAAACATGGAAGAGATCTAATAGAGCCAAACAAGTTTAAAAGAAAAATGGAAGACTATACCCAAATCCTGTACAAACAGCACTGCAAAGTCTTTTTGCATTTGTAAAGAAAGACTATGTTCAGGAATCAACTCATGCAAAGAAAGATTGGTTAATAACTTTTTAAAGAAGAATATACAATTACTATGCATGCAGACAAGTGCCAAATGAACAGAAAAGTTTCAGAAAAGGCAGAGGGAAATAAGAGACTGACATTATTTAACTTTCTTATTGTAGAGAAGCATATAAATGCAGATACTTTCTAACGGAAGTAGCATTATAAGCTCTAATAACAAACTAGGGTTAATGGAGAGGATAAAATAATTTCAGGAGATTCACCTTGGCTTCACTGACTGGAGTCAGGCCTTTTAACTGTCCAGATTATGCTAGAAAATGAATGTGATAAGGCTAATGAAAATGACAGAAGACCTTATTATTTTTCAGAAGTACAGTGAAACAAGCAAGATGCTACAGTACTGTAAAAAGGAAATCTGGAGAAACTGGTTTTCACCGTTTATCAATATGAAATATTCGGGCAATATTAGCTGAATGTAAAGAAGAGTTACGTGAAAGAGCTCAGCATAGCAGTGTGAAACAAAAATGGAAACTGAAAAACCCATGTTAATATTAAAAAGCCAAAAGTAATGTCAACTATCATGCTCAGTGAACTCACAGTTGACAGTGAAGAAGTGAAGACAATATAGATGGTTTTGTTTTCTTCATCCCCAAAGAGATAAAATTGAATAGTGTCCTGGAGAAGAGAGTAAATCTGGAGAAGAAGGCAATGGTAAACTTAGACAAATATATAAAGGATATGGATATTCTGATGAAAACAAACATTGGAATAGTTATAGTAGAAGCTTGTCTAGTGTTAAAAGATAGCTGTGAAAACTGAAGATAAAAGAACCAGAAAAAAAAGTGTGTACTTCTCTGAATCTTGATCTAGAGAAACATCACTGCAAGTGTTGTGGATTGCAAGGAGAATCGATAAAATGATCCTGGCCCAAAAAGACTGACTACTCCCACAAATGGATGATCAGAACAGACAGTCCTATACTTTGGGCAAGAAGATAAAGGACTGGAATATCTACTATATTTTGCAACATTAAAGGAGATAAATGGGGAAGGAAATGTATAATTGAGGTAAATGCCAAGGTTGGCTGGGGAATTTTGAGTCCTAGAAAACAGGCAAACCATTTCCAAAAAAATATTGCCAAGAAAATTATTTCTCCAGGCAGTTGATAGAATTCAAGAACTAAAAACAGCAAAAACGAGGTGGGGTGTGTAAAGGAATATAACCTTTAAAATTTTGACCTGTGAGCCAGCACACATCAGCAAGATATTTTCACTAACAATATATCATTATTTTAAGCATATCCAAACAGAGCTCTTTGTTACCTGAATAATTTTTCACCTGGAACAGGTCAATCTGAGTGGCAATACGTGCATTTCCAAACATGTGCACTGTATTTTAAAACAGGACGATGGTCTTATTGCTACGGACGCAAACTGCATCCTGTTCTGGAAGGCATGTTCTCAGAAAAATGCATGCACCACCCACAAACCTGGAGTATTTTGGAACATCCCACTCCAGGGGAAAACTCTGAACTAGTCTTCATGCAGCTTCTTCCTCTTCACTTTCATCCTAATCTCTCAATTTCTTTAAGAAACTAAAGAAATTAAAGAAATGGCCTGAAAGCGCTGGGCGAACATCAACTCCCAATTAGCGCGGGCTATTGCAAAACTAGATCGACACAGCGGTGTTTAAAAATAGGGTTTGGGTTAGAGTTCAAGACGAAGTAGCTTGCAAACGGAAAGCTTACCGCCACTCGGAAAATCAAAAAAAAAGCACGTTATCTCGCCTCGCTAAACCGAGTAGACGCGCAAAACTTTCAAAGTTAGCCAGTAACCAATTCGACCGATTTCTCCACGTTCAACTTTTCCTCTCCGGCAGACCCGAATGTCCCCCTCGGGCCCTTCTGCTGAACACGCCTTCGCCTCTAAACCCATGCAAAGGCCACGGGTGCCATCCCGCAAACGGACCATCCCCGGGAACTTCAAAGCTCGCCCTCCACCTCCTCCAGCCTTTACTCTGAAGTTCCTCCTCTCTCGTCCAGCGGTTGGAAGTTCAGACTCGGCTCCTCTCGACGAAAGGGAGAATCACTGAGGAGGTGTTTTGCTTTGTTTTGTTAACCCGGCCTCGTCTCCTTGTCACCCGCCCGGACAACCCAGCCGAGAGCCGCGCAAACCCTCCCCCGACGAGGACAGAGAGAGAGAGAGGGGCAAAGGGGCTGCAGCCGCCTCCGCCTCCTCAAGGCGAGAAAAAAAAAAAAAGGCAGCCGCGGGGCGAGACGGCGCCGTCCCCGCGTCCCTTCGGCGAGGCCTCCTTTCACTCACATGTGCGGGTTGCGCTTGAAGGCGCTGTTGATGTCCTTCACCACCCGCTGCACCAGCACGGCCACCTCCTCCGGGGACTCGGCCATCTTCGGGCTGCTGCCACCGTAGCTTACGACCGGTAGCAGCGCCCTCGCTGCTGCTGCTGCTCCTGCCGCCGTCCCGCATAGGAAGGCCGAGGAAAAGCAAAGCGCATCCGGGTCAGAGGCCTCGGCGAGGCGGAGCGCGGCGAACCCGTCGAGGAAGGACCGCCTTCTCCTTTCGCCGTGGAGCTGGACCGACAAGAAATGGGAGGGAAATGATTTTGGGTGTGAGAGGAAAGGATGCTCTGAAGCAGGGCTCTCCAACCTTGGGCTCTTTAAGACTTGTGGACTTCAACTCCCAGAATTCCTCAGCCAGCTTGCTGGCTGAGGAATTCTGGGAGTTGAAGTCCACAAGTCTT